TTGTTGTGATCCACACAATCAAAGGCTTTTGCATAGTCAATTTCAAGTCCACACCTTTCTTTTCCTTTGCAGCTGGTTTTCTCAGTTCAGAGAGACTGACTTTGCCCGGGCTGGAAACAAGGCAACCTTCACCGTCAGCTTGGATACGGGGCCCCTGGAACAGTTTTCCCATTCGATGGAGCCTCAGCTGAGGCAACTCGGACTGCCAACTGCCCTGAAAAAAGGTTGGGGACGTGTCCGGGGACAAACATTTGCAAGGCGCTTTCTTCGGCCCCCGTCCTTCACTTTCTTTCTTTTTCTCCCCTTGTAGGCGTGGTGACACTCATCTCAGATTATGAGGTTTGCAAAGAGGGGGACGTCCTGACCCCAGAACAAGCTCGCATCCTGGTGAGGCTCCTCCTTTTATAGCAGCATTTCCTTTTGGCCCATTTGATCCCCCAAATACAGTGGTACCTCGGGATACGAACTTAATCCGTTCCGTGACTCTGGGCGTATCCCGGGTTGGTCGCAACCCGAGGCAATTTCCCATAAGGTTCAATGTAATTACCGTTAATCCGTTCTGGCGTCCACGGATCACGCGTCGGGTGGGAAAGCGGCCGGGCGCGGCGTGGTGCGGCGCGAAAACAGCCCGGCATGGCGCGAAAACGGCCCAGTGCGAAAACGGCCTGGCGCGGCGCAAAAACAGCCGCGGACCACGCAGCAGGGCCGGAAAAACAGCCGCGGACCACGTGGCACGGGCAGAAAATGGCCGCGGACCACGTGTCACGGTGGAAAATGGCCGCTGATCCGGTTCGTACCCCGAGGCGGAGTTCACAAACCGAGGTAAATTTTTGGGGCCGGAGCTGGTCATAACCCGAAAAATTCGCAAGCAGGGGCGTTCGTATCCCGAGGTACCACTATACTCAAGCCTACTGAGCCACAATACTTGAGTAGGTGGCAAACTTGGGAATTGCAACCCGAGCTGTTTTCACTCCTGCTTCCTCCAGACTAAGCTATCAATGCATTCTGCTCCTTTAGGGACTGTCTTAAAATACTTTCCCAAACTGATACCCTCCAAGTGCAGATGGCATCACAGATCCCAGGATTCTACCTAACATGGATACAGAAGGCTATGATTTAAATATCCTAGCATGTTCTTTTCCTTCCAGTTCTGGACTTTCCTTATCACCTTGTTACAGTCTCCCTTGTTTGTAGTTCCTGAAGCTTTAAGTTCGTTTTCTTGACAGCCAGGGAAGCATTTCCACTGAAGTTCAGAGCGCTTCCAATTTTTTTTTTCCCCTGTACCTTAGACTGTTACACACAAGTTGGTTTTCCTGTTCTGAGTGCCGTTTCCTTTCCCTTTATTTCAGAAACTCTTTGGCTACGCAATGGCAGAGTTTAAGGTGATGATCAGGAGCGTGTGGAACGCTGAGACGGGAGAATTTGAACAGCTGGAGACCCCCACGGAGGACGCTCCAGGAGAGATGGAGGAGGAGGAGGAGGAGGATGAATCTAATGAAGAAAACTAGGGCAGAAGAAATGCCAACAGACTGTTGTTTTTTAAGAGATTGATAACTCCTCTCTTTCTCATTAATGGAGGACTGAGCTAATAATTTAAGGATATTATCACAGTATGGCTTTTTATAAATGTGTATATACATATATATATATATACGAATATGTGTATAAAATGTATAAAAGAACTTACAGTGTGTTGCATTGTCTTTGTAACCAGTTAAAGTTTGTGGAAGCAATAATTCAGCAATAGGACTCGTGTCTGCAGAGAGCTCCATTTAATTCCAGTCAACTGGTTACCCAAGAAAGTAGACCCATCTACCCCAAGGGGACGCCTTCAGCGGAAGTAATTGGGGCAGTCGTGGGCTGTGAGGTGCCAGGCCTTTTCAAAGGCCGCCACCACGTCCGGGACGAGAGGCCCCTCCTCGCTGGACCGGAGATTCTCCTGCAGCTGGTCCATGTTGGACATTCCAATGATCACAGCGTCCCCGTACTTACCCTGGGGAAGGGAGGAGAGGAGTAAACTATCCAGATTGAGGGAGCAAGCAAAGATACGTTTCTGCTCAAGTGCTAATCCCACTAAACACCCTCTGGATTTTGCAGCCCTGAGGACTCGAAGCTTGCTCTTAAGAACAGCAGAGACCCATTTCGTGATTTTTAACTCTGGGGCTGAGGGCAAACCTTGGCGTTACCTGCAGCTCTGAGTGATGGTAGACCCAGCGCAGGGCAGCCGAGGTCAGAGTGGGAGGGTTCGAGCCATACGCCTCACGGAGAGCGTTTTGGATCAAGGATACTCCCTCAAAATGGTGCTGCTTCCAGTACCTGGAGTGATATTTAAAAAAAAAAAACAATTAGTAATTAATATCCCAGCACTTAAAATCAAGGGCCTGGCCTAATAAAATATTCAAACAGCAGAAGGACAATTAAAACGATTTAGCAACAAGGAAATAACAGAAACAGCCCCACACCTAACAGAGTGGCGGAGAGGCAGGCTATGAAAAGCCTCTGGATGCTAGCCTTTTCTACCAAAGACCCGATCTCAGCAGTTCGTGACTGCTCTCCTTGTTCGAGATGCTAGCCTCTTCTGCCTACAGACTCACCTGTCCCGGTAGATTTTGGCCCAGTCGTTCCCGAAAAACCTGCCAGTTGGTGGCTGACTTAAATCTTTATCTTCGTACTTGTACTTCCCTGTCAGGAGCCCCCCTGTTCGAGAAACATCGAAGTTTTGAGATCATCCACCGAGTCACTGCATTTCTATCCTCCTTTCACCCATCGTGCAGTCCCACGCTGCCAGCTCCTTGGAGGGGCACCACAGCTTCCGTTTTTAAATCCACCCTCCCACGTTCCTGCTCCGTACCGGCCAGAGGATTGTAAGCGTAGAAGCTCATTCCAAAGTGTCTCAGACAGGGGAGCAATTCCTTTTCCACCTGGCGCGTCGTGGCGTTATACATGCCCTTGGTTCAAAGGAAGCGAGACAAAACTCAGAGATCTGCCGTTGAGCTAAGGGGGCTGCTGGAGAACCCGGGGGCTGGGGGGCCCAGCTGATCAGAGAAACGGCTAAACCCGCGGGTTAAACGCTGACCAGCATCGCTCACCTGGTACACCGTCGGCAGCAGCCACTGGTTGCTCTTGCAAAGGGTGCAGATTTCCGCCACTTCCCAAGATGCGTAGTTGGACAAGCCGAGCTCTTTAAACTTCCCCTGTCAAGCGACAAAGCAATTCATTGGTCGTTTTTGGCCCTATTTTCAGGTATCCCCCAACGTACCATAAAACAAGGTCTTTGGGATCTGGGGCTGTGACCCAGCATGTCTGGAGAAAGTGTTCACACGTGTCCTCTGTCAGGAACACTGCCGCTCGGGGTCAGACTAGATGGTCTCTACCCCCAGCTCGCCCTCGTGCGATCTGGAGAGAGCCGTCTTGCATGACACCCCCCGCAACCCTTTGGGAACCTGGTTATCCTGCCTCCCCAGGTTTTCCCAGGACCCCCCATTCCCACACCTCTTGGTGAAGCTCGTTGCAGGCCCGCAGCGTCTCTTCCACGGGTGTCTCGTGGTCCGGGGCATGGAGGTAGAAGAGCTCCACGCTCTGCAGCCGCAGCCGCTGAAGAGACTCCTCCAGCTGCGACCGGACACTCTCAGCCTTCAGCGTTTTGCCTTCCCAAGGATTCGCCTTCGTGGCTATCGTGACTGGGGGCGTGGGGAGAACAGGAGGATGAGACTCCTTCGGGAGAGCAAACTCAGTTCCCCGGACAAGGGGAAGGAATGAAACCAGACAGACAATGCTTTTGAGCCGCACAGGGGAGGCCAACAGCTATTCCGATACACTGCTCTTAAACAAGGAGGTTCTATCTACCTACTATGGAAGGCAGAAGCTTGCAAAACATAAGAACAGCCCGACTGGATTAAATTAAGACTCTACCCAGCATTGTAACACCATAAGCTTCTCAGCCTGGTATGTTCTCTATCAGGAGACACTAATGCAAGCCAAACTCCACCCCTCTCGAGCTCTGCCACAGAATGCCAAGATTGTGTCTGGGCATGGGCAGAGTGCTTCCCCACTCAGCCACCCCAATCGATATGCATGCGTTCAGGTTTTGCCCACATGTGTTCTGGAATGGTGCACGGGGCCAATTACCTCTCTAAGTTTGCAATGAACAGCATTTGTCTGCATTTACCTGGAGAACCCTGTTTTTTAAGACCACGGCAGGGGTTTTCGTTTCGTGGTTCCGTGTTTTGCCTGCCAGCTGGGATTTCGTTTCTGCTCCTCAAGAAACTGACTTATTTCCAAGCAATCGAGCAGTACGAATTCCCTCCACCCTCCGCCTCTTTGCCGAGGAAATAAATGATTAAACTGCAGCAGACTTTGAGCTGGCTGCCGAATAACCAGGCTCACCGTCCCCAAAGGGCCAGGGGCCGAAGGGAGGCAAAGGCGCAGACCCAGGGCAGGGGGCAATCAAGGGGGGCGGGCAATTTTTACACCCTTTGGCTCCAGTGGGAGAGCTGCACCCCAAAAGCCACGTTTCACATGAGGACGGCGGGGCGTGCTGCCCCAGGACTCCACTTTTTGGAGTGGCACCTCCAACTGCGGACGCTTTGGGACTTGGAGAGGAGAGGAGAGGAGAGGAGAGGGGGAAGCGGGCTCCGATGCAGACGCCCCGAGGGGGCATTTGGACCAGCGTCGCTCGGCCTTGGCAACCTCGGAGGGGGCTTGCGGACGGGGCGTTCGGGGAGGCGAAGCCCCCCTG